GCGCTTGTGTTCATGCAGTTGCCCTGTGATTATGTGGTCCCTAGCTTCTTCACTAAAATCTGAGAATATGCAGGAGGGCATGAGGGAAGTGCCAGGAGGAAGAAAGCAGTGACATTGAAAAAGGAAGTAAGAGGCAGCTTCTTTTAGAGGCAGCCAGGACTTTTGCTAAAGCAACTTAAATTACATTGGCAATTGTTAAAAATAAATGTAATTTAAGTGTTTTAAAAAGCCAGTGTTCCCCATGTATCTTGTCTTTGTCCATGTCTGCTGTGAACCCCGAAGCCAGCTAGCATAGTTAGGTAAGTTCTGATTCACCTGTCTTGTGCTGCACCCCTCCTTTTGACCTGATTCATAGGAGTGTGGCAAGGAGCTTCAGCAGCAGTATCGACTTACGGAGTTTTCAGTTGTCCTTTCCCTCCCTCTTTCCTTTTGAAAATGCCAGCAAAACTATTTATGTGACCATTCTAGAACTAGATTTCAGATCCATTTGAACTGATCCAATTTAAATTGCTTATTTCTAAAAACATATAGTCAGCAGCTTTTCTGTGTTTATAACTTGGCCCTGCAAACATTTGTCCAAACAACTGTTAAAAGGCAAAGTGCTGCAAAACAGGAAGGAAGGGGAATGCTTAAATGCCATTGCCATGGAAGCTGAATGATACTGGTCATGACATGATTTGTTACAGCAGTATATTCTGGTCATACCCTCAAAGATAAAGCCCTGCAGTTTAAGAAATGGTCCTTAAGGAAAGGGGAGTAAGTAATGTAAACCTGTAGGTGCAGTGCTGGAAGAAAATGGAAGAAAAAAATTAATGAATTGTTACATGTGTAGTTTGGCAAACTGCCAAACATACAGACACTGTGACATTATCTGATAGAGACCTCGGTGATTGTAATAATTTTGGCTCTGACTTCACAATACAAAGTATTTAGCAGTAGTATTTGCTTAAAGCACTTGTGGTTTTGTGGTGAGGAAGTGGAGCCTTCAGTGAATGCTTAGAGCCATCCTTACCCTTAAAGATTAGACCATCAATTCTTCATAGCTCACAGTGTAGCAACTGATTGGCAGATATAAACCACTGGCTCCTGGAGTGATTACCACCTCTGATCCAGCAGATTGGAGTAGCAACAAAGAAGTAGGAAGCATCTGCTATTCAGTTACAGTACATGATGTTTCCACTGATATTTTTACTTCTGCTTTTGAGAAGGAGGCAGGCAGGCTGGCCACTCCTGATCTTATGTCATACTCTTCTGCTCTGGTTTATTGAGGTGATGTTTCAGAGCCAAAGTGTTTACACATGGTAGGGTGTTTTGCTGAATAACATTTGCATGACAACTGTTGCTGTTTCAGACTCTGGTTGAGTAATGTGTTAACTAATTTACAGCAATCTTGAAGGTTTCTTTGTTTTGTTCTCTGTATAGGAAGCTGCAGACAAGATCTTGACCTGGAGTTGGCATTGACGTAGGCTTGTTCTTTGATTTTTGAACAGCGTCATAGTTAATATTGTCTCTGAACATGTTCAAGAACTCATGGGTGTTTCTAGGTTCTCTGAGAAAATATCTTGTACTCCTTTCAAAGTAGAGTTTTCTCAATAACCATGTAATTGGCGTTTCTGAATAGACAGCTAACCAAGGATTGTGAAATGGGCACTCTGTTTTGAAATCCCTGAAAAGGAAAGTGAACAGTGGAAATTTCCTAAAGCAGCCTTTCATTAGAAATATTTCCTAATAAAGACTCAGAAATAGACTGTAAAAGTAGTTGCTTCTGAAGCATTGCTAAAAATGTGCTTGTTAAATATCAGTCATTTCCTACTGTAAGAACTTCATGTTTCTAAATAGAAACGCTTGTCCCTCCTCTCTTTTCGCCATAGTGTTTCTGTAGAATTGTTTGCAAACTGCTGCACACTCCACAGCCCCACATCTTGTTTGTGGTTCTAGCTTGGGGTTTGTTTAGATGCTGAGGGAGCAGGGAGCCAATCCTTTATCAAAAGGTAACAGTTACAATTTTTGCCTGCAGCTTAACATGGATTGCCTTCATAGACTTTGTGCTGCTTTTGATGGGAAAGAAGTTAAAAACCTAAGCAAACTTTCCCTGAAAAAGATGGCATGACAAATACTTATGAAGTTTGTGTCACTCCTGTGTGATGTTGTCAGTAATATGACAGCACTGCAAAACACTGAACTTGGGTCTGTTTGATGTAGGCATAAGAATTTCTTTGTCTTTCTCTTGCATGAGGTAGTAAACTGTTTTCTTGTCCACTACAGATATGAAATAGCTTAAACTGCAGCAAGAAAATAATTTCAAAGTAGATCTTAGGCAAATTTTCCAGTGGTGGTGATAATGAAGTATTTAAGTAGATTGCTTGGGGGGCATTAAAAAGTTTCCATCACTGGATGCCTTTACCAGATTAAATATCTCTCAGGAATGTTATACGTATGCTGTTTGGGGGACTGGATTAAATGAACTCACTTCTAATTTTAGGCTTAATTATGATTTTTAATGAGGTTGGGTCATGACAAAAGTTGGCTGAGGAAAATGTCAGTTGGGTTGGGCTACCTAAATGGTCTGTTGACTCAAATCAACTCTACCATTTTTATAATTTACAGATCTCTAATGTCTCAGGCTGCCAATTTCAGAGGGTATTATTAGCTTTTTAAAATGAGTTGTAAACACAGATGTCAGTTTGAAAAAGATGAATTCTAGTAACATTAAAATACTATGGAATTGCAATGCACAGCTTGTACTGTAGAGCTATTACTGCTTTGGCAAGGCTGGGATCTAAGACCTATCTATGTATTAAAGTCAGGTAAATATTTTGTGTCCAAATTTTTCAGTGATAATTTTTCACGGGTAGTATTTCATGTTAGTTTGCCACTGTATTGTGCTGTAAGGATACCATTGCCTCTTCCCTAGCTGCTAGATCAACTCATTTCTAAATTCATTAGATCCAGATAGCTGGCTATCTTAAGGACATGCTTCACAGGCTCAGATGTTTTCTGTGGTCTGC